CCCCATTTTTTGACCACACCCTCTATTGGTGGAACAGGGCAACGGTTTAGTAGTGTAGGCCAGTGTCCTAGGAGATGCCTTGATCCAGGCAAAACTCTATTCCCAACTTGATAGGGCCGGTGCCTATGTCAACCTCTTAGGAAAGCCCGCTATCACTTCTCGTCAACTGGAATATGCTCGGGCAGTGGGGCTGGGGTGTGTTGTCGATGGGGGAGGAGATGGGCCCCTGGCTCCACCCTGTAGAAGCAACCTCAGTGCTATCAAGATCAAGATCCAAATGCGCATGCTAGGGGGGCAAGCACGTTGAGCACGAGAACCCACTAGCGCAGCCTACCTCCTGCTAGGATCGATGGGGCTTGTCATGAGAGCACATGTCGTTGGCAAGGGTATGATGTTAGGGGACGTAGGGGAGTGGGCCACATGTTTGTCTTGTCCCGACCCATGTGAAAGGGCGCGTGATGGCAAGCCGAGGGGGGTGAAGATAAGCCTGCAATAACATGCATCAAAAAGGGGTCACCTCTAAGGGTGACACCCTTGTGTCTCTAGACCCCAATGCATCGTTCACTCGATGTGCATATAGTAGTGGCTCGCCATGATGTGTTGTTGACATGGCCGGATGGTGGGGGAGGGGGGCTCCATGCCACATATAAAGAAAGACCACCGTCGTCCAAACGGACGAACCCCTAAACTATAACACTTGGAGATTAGTGCGATAGTTCTAAGCATGGAGCTCTCTCGATACATAAGAAAGAACACACATCAGGAGAAGGGTGTGGTCCAAACCTAGGTAAATTGTGTCATTGTGCTATGTGGAATGACTATAGTGTTTTAACCCCAGGCCAAACAATCTAGGATCTCTTTCTGAGTTCCGATCTCGACGATCACCCATCAAGATCAGGACTATGCCATATTTTCTAAGCTTCGAGGCTACCCACATGTTATAATGGATATAGATTGTGAGGAATTGATCAATCATTGGACTTCTTGCAACGGCTCTTTGTCGGTTATTGCACCGATTCTCTTAAAAGTTGGTTAGCTAGCTTCACCTTTTTCATGTTTGATGATTCAATGTTTAAACACGTTGCACATCTCTCTCGAAGCCTCTACAGAACGCAAGAGGCGACCAGGAGGAGCGCCAGGTTTCCTGTTCTTTCGCTAGCAACCTTGCCGCTCCTACCTGCCTCTGATGGCCTGCCTGGCCTCAAGAGGTGTGGGGGGAGCCCCGAGGAAGCACCGGAGTGTAGATGGTTTCCAGGAGGCACCATTGGGACGCAGGCATTGGTGCCACGTCAAAATAAATGTGCCCCGACTTTATATGTGTTGCGTTAGGGATTCTTACTCTAGCGGAAGCCTGTGGGTCCGTGGTTCCTCCTGCTCCATCTCTGCCTCGATGGCGTGTTATGATGAGGACATCAATACCATTGTTACATCCACAGCCCCTGCTGCTATACATACTGGACCAATTACTAGAGCTCACGCACGCCAATTGAATTATCAGGTACTTTCATTTCTTGGTAACAATTCTAATGTTCATGAGAATATGATGCTGCCTAAATTGGATACATTTGTTTTGCTTACAAATGAAGGGCCTAGCTTGGACAAGAAAGATGAACCTTGGAGCAAGTTCAAGCATGGAGATGATGGCATGCGCAAGGGGATCAAGAACGGAGTTACAAGTGATGATTTCAGGACTTTGAAGCCACCATAAGGAGTGCATGAAGCCTTGGACGAAATATACAAGATGCCACTTCCTAAATTTCGTCCAGAGGCTATTTTAGGTGCTGCGTCACCTTATTATTGGGCCAGGCCCATGTATTTTCGAAATAACTAAGTATCGGCTGTTTTTAGAGTCCGTATGTGTGGGGA